TACAAAAAAGAATTTTTGGAAACATGACCTAAAGTTATGTTTTCCCTGTATATTTAAAAATCATTTGATCTGGCATGCTATATGTTTCTCAAAAATATATATCACTTTATATTTATTTTCACTATTTCACATTGCTTTTCTTATTTGCGAAAATCGACTTATAAAAAAATTGCCTAGATAGCCATAATCTTAAGCAAATTTTATATTTTTGTTTGAACAATTTTGCCTTATATCCTAAAATGAAGTGGTGGGATATTTGTTAGATCTGTTTTTATTTAAATGTTAATACCTCTGGCCTGGGTAATCGGAATCCAACGAACTAGGGCTCTTTTAAAAAAGCATTCCTTAAGGCCCCCATTCACTGGACGATTTTGTAGCAACCAAGTTGAGCGATAAAATTGCTTCTAAATTTCTTGGAAATTTGGTTGTTCGGAACGGACCATTTATAAGGCGACATTCAAGCAATTTGGTTGTCAATCAATTTTTCTGGAAATTAATCGAGAATTTCCGACACTCTCCTGTTCACGTACTAAATAATAAAAATAGTTAAGAACGGTTGCCGACGTCCACTGATTGGGCGATCCTCGTACAACCTCTTTAAATTGCTGGAATCGCAACCCGATTCACCTTCCGCACTGTAAATCAAAAGAATGCTTGGCAATCACAATATCGCTTTCAATTTAATTGAAATGACGCACTAACCTGGAGATCTTTCGACAAATTGATCGAAAGCGACTAAATCGCTCGATTAGATTGCTCGTTTATCGCCTAGTGAATGGCAGCCTTTACTCTATATTCCATGTAAACAATAATAATAAGCTTTTAAGAGTAGAGGCTAGGGGGCGCTGTCTTACAATGTCACAAACATTACGCGTATTTTCAAGAAAATTAAATGCACTAGTATGTACAATTTTAGGTGATAGTAAAGAGGGATAAATGCTTAAAAAGTCAGCGAAACTGCATCTTGATATCCATTTTCAAACCGAAGATATTAGCAAAAATTTAATAAATTAGATCAATACTTTGATAGCCTCAACAGCGTTTTTATCAATGTTGATCTAATAACACTTTTTGACGTTTAAACTATTACTTCAAAAGCAACTTTTTTCCAAAGTCACAAATTTGAAAATAATTGCCAGCAATTTTTCATGGGCTCTTTAGTTATAAATATACCTCAGTCATTTATCGTACTAATGTTTTTGGCCCTCTTTTAGCGTATAGCACTTCTGTGGCTAACTTAAAATTGATTGGGCTGCCTATTTCTTTTAAATTGCAAATCGAATGCTTTTGATATTATGGTTACGCGTCGTTGGATATTGTTTCGTGTTTGTTTCCATCCGATTGATTTAGTATGTTGCATGAAAATGCACCTTTTACCACTACTTTATCCACTTGAAAAATATAGTATTACTTATTTATTAATCAAAAACTAATTAGTTTCCAATAAAAAAAAACAGGGGTTTTGATTTTTAAATAGTGGATGCAATACATTTGTCATAGTAGTTTTTGAAATGAATATCGATAATAATTTCTGTGCGTCCTCAATGTCAATGGCATAAATAATTTTCAAAAATTAATACTTGTCTATCTTTCAAAAATTAATTTTTACTGAATATATAGATTTGCGTATATCGGAACTATTCACTTTTTCGTTTAAATATTAATTTTTGTTAGGTTTTTATATGACGTATATACAAGGCACAAGAGCGAGTTAAGTAAAGGTTTGTAAAAATAATCATATTATTCCGAGTATAAATTTTTATTTTTTAAAAAATAAGAAAAACTGAAATATTTATTTAAAAAATCATAACAAAACATCGGAAAACACAAAATGCTTATACATAAACACAAATAAAGAGTTATTCTTCAAATTAAAAAATAAATTAAGGTTAAATTTATACAAAAAAAATATTTTTGACACACTGGTCGAGCAAGAGGCCTATCTTTATCGCTGTCATCAGCATCACACTCAATAACATCTTCTTGCCAGTCTACTTCCTCAAAATCTTCAATAGTATCGGAAATAAAAATTGATCTATTGCCGTTTCCTATTTTCTTCAGCAAGTTTTCATTGTGGGATACATAGAGTAGCTTATCTATCATTAGTAAGCCTGTTTCTCTTTTTTGAATGAATATGACTATAAACGATAAAACTGCATTCCGTGACAGCCGAAGATGCTGGCATCATCAACATTCGTGAAGCTACTTGTGATAATGAAGATGAAGAACACAGTCCTTTCCACCAGGAGACTGGGTTATCAAAACTACTTTTCCATATGAAGTTATTTCCAAATAACTTGCCACTTCTACAACGATAATCTGCTATTTTATCTATTATTTCTTGTTCCTTTATATTGAGTTTATTTTTTGATATATTAAATATGCATTCTATGGCAGAAAGAATTTGGGTTTCATCAAGTTCAGAACCTTGTGATTTTGGATTTAGTAATTCTGCAGCATAATGAATGGGTTTAATAGCAAATTTTTCTCTTTTGTCAACAAACTTCAACAATTCGGATTTTTCTTTGTCGTCAAGTGAGGATAATGCAAGATTATTCTGAATTACCCTTCTAACACCACAAAATGCTTTTACAGCAAAATGAATAGTGCTATAATCTCCTTCTACAATTTTTAACCATTTGCCAATAGGTTCAAAAATGTTAATTACGTTGGAAATTTGGGCCCAAAATACTTCGTCATCTAATATCCACTGCTTAACATTTTTATCAATCATTTGTGTTGCTTCTTGACTAACTGCAACTCCTTGTAAACTGAGCCTAGTATTGTATACACTTTTTAAGTTGGTCAAAATTGAAGACCAGCGAGTTTTTACTACGCTACGACTTACGAGCTCGGGACTTCCCCGTAGAAATGCGAGGTTGCAAATAAGTTGGTGAATCCTCAAACTCGATATATTCACCATATTATATGTTTGTAAAACTGTTCTATAGTAAGTTTAATGTTTATAAGGTTACATAATATGAAAGATATATTAATAAACATCGGGTTTGAATCGTATGACAAGATTTAAGTATTTTTTAAAATATTTCCAATATTTCCGAGACACGTTTGGAAATTTCCAATATTTCCAGTTCCATGGAAATATTTCCATTTACAACACTATAGAAACTACTAATCTATTCTGATCTAAATAATATACTTAGGTCATTTCAAGCCTATAGATTAATTTGATGAACAAACTCAAGACCAAAACTCTTTTGATCTTGGTCTTGCATTGCAAGTCTTTAATTTTTTTAATAGTTCTTACTAGAGGCATTTTCTACATAGGAAATTTTTAAATAGATAGTATCTTTAGCAATTTAATACAAATAGATCTTTATAGAAAGAAATTATTAGAATATTTGTCTGACAAAAATGCTTATTTTTCAATATACAGGGTGCTACAAATTCGAGGTACGAGCATTGTTATCTCAGTAACCGTAATACGAAAAGGGTTAAATTGGGGCAAAGTTGCGCTTCGGCATGTTCACCAAGATGCCATCAAAAAAGTTTTAAAAATTTCAAGGATTGCTGAGTTTTTTGGGAAAAAACGGATTTTTTTGAAAGTCAATTTCATTTTTTCCTGTCGTTACTTTTTAGAAAATCAAAAAAATAATTGCAAATTCTCATAGCCACTTTATTAGGGCTATCTGATAGTATTTTTAGATTTTCAAATTAGTTGATAATTTGTGAGATACACAGGCCAACTTAATTTTTGTAAATAGGGACCTGCATTTTTTATTTCATGTTTTGAGAGAACTCGGTCTCGTGAGTACAAGATATGCCACACTTTATAGTTTTTTTTGTTTTGGGTACCTTAACAACAACAAATGTATTTAACTATTATTTAAAATAATTTCAAGTTCGACTCTGGTTTTTTAAATTATTTAATCTGATTATAATCATAGCAAAAATATTGATGAACGCTAATTAACAATGAGTAAGGAAAATCGAGCCAACTGAAATATTCAAATAAATAATATTCACGTCAGGAAAATAAAGGAAATATTATTTTTAACTTTTTTTATTGTGAATTTGAAATCTTAGTGGGCGATCTAATAATATGCATAATATTAATCGTAGTTATTATAATTAAATCAACTTCTACAAACTAGTTTCTATTGCTCTACATGTTCAAAAGGGTTACCACCCTCCCTATTGCACAAATTTATTTTTCCTTCAATTTTATTTATAGCTCTTTGAACTTTCTTCTTATATTTCCAAATGCATTTTGTACTCTTTATTGCAAATGTTCAGATGTATTGATTTCACTTTTACAAGTGACGTCAAGTAATGTCCCCCCTCTCTCCCGCTCCTTGGTGACAGATCCAGGAACTTCGCTGGCCATTATACTGCTCCACCATCTCCCTGGGAAATGATTTGAAGTTTGAAAGCTTATTATCGTAACAATGAATAGATGAAATATTTAAAAAGACATAGCCGGATTTGGAATTAGTTTAAATAAATTGTGTAACCCAACTCAAATGCACGAAACAAAAAAAAGTGTGGCATATCATTGTACTCAGGAGATCGAATTCTTTCAAAACCTGAAATAAAAAATGCAGATCCGTATTTAAAAAAAAATAAGTTGGCCTCTGTATCTCACAAATTATCAACTAATTTGAAAATCTAAAAATACCATCAGATGCAACACCGCAAGAGTATTTCATGCTTAGTCTTGGTCTTGCATTACAGATCAAAGGTTAGTCTTGGTCTTGGTCGTGCTTTTGTGCAAGACCAGTCTCGTTCATCACTAGATTCGCGATGTCTTTAAGACGTCGGCTTATATGTTATACAAGTTTCCCGGAATACAATTCGGACCACCCCGTATAGAGAATAAGTTTTATAGAAATATGAATTATTATTGGCAGTGACATCTCCTTCCCACAGAATGTCCTTTTTGTCTTATACATCGACGGAAACATCGCGAGACATTATCCTATATTTGATGAGTTGGTATTATGCCGTATTCTCTACTAATTAGTACTATTTTATTGCAGGTGTACCCCTCGTCGACGGACCGCGTATCTCACGCGATCCACAGCACGCTGGGAGACTTCTCCTACATGAGGGACTACCTGAACAAGGACTCTTCGGGCCTGATAGGCGTGGACGGCGTACCCCCCAGCCCGGGACCCGCCCATCCGGTCCATCAGTCGCCACCTCTCAATGGCAACACAGCCGCCAGGTACCACATCAATCTTTGATTAATGGCTTCTTTGTGCGCTAATTAGTTGCGTCGATCGATTGCGTTAACTGGTAGTGTATTCCAGGGCCTTAGCATTTTTTTAATTAATTTGTTTAAACAATGGAATTGTTTGAATAAATTAATTAAATAAAAGAAGTTTTAATAGTAAATTAATACACAGTGAGGGGCGTCACAACACGGGACATAGGAAATCCCATGTAAATTTAGAAAATGTCATATATTATCTCCCGAAATAATATTATACAAAAGTTGTATTAGAATAATTGTTCGAAGAGGTGTTAAAGTTGAACATTCATCTAATATTTCGTTTCATTTGGAATCGGCACTTATGCGAGCCCTAACAACTATATGTTGGGATAAGGTCTGTTTTTGCAATAAAAATAGTAATTTGTTAAAACGACTCAATTTATTTTGTTTATTATTCTAAATTCAAACATTACAATATGATCTAGACAGTTTTACTATATTTTTATAACTTTCCAAACAAATAACTTTTGATAATAGCTTATTTTGCCAAAATCAAGCCAACTATATATTGGGACAGTACAACAAGAAATTTGTTTAATACGGAGTTACATCACCTTTCGCCTTAACAACTGTCTCAACTCTTAATTGCATTGTATTTACCAAAGATTGGCACATTTGAGGAGAAAAATTACCCCAAATTTCCTGCAGTTTTGTCCGCAAATCAAAAATTGTCCGTTGAGGGTGGTTTCTTAAATATTGCTTCATTTGCATGCCACACAGTTTCTATAACATTGAGGTCCGGACTACTTGCAGGATAGGATAGAACTTTTATATTATTATTACCGAACCAATTTTTAGTTGATTTTGCTGAATGGCACGATGCTCCATCTTGTTGAAAAATATAGTCTTCGTTTGGAAACAATTCTTGAGCACTAGGCAAAAGTGAGGTCTCAAGTATATGTTGATATTTTTGGGCGTTAACAGTGCCATCTATACAATTTAATTTGCCCAAACCTCTTGCTGACATGCAACCCCAAACCATAATCCCCTTAGGACATTTAACAACCCTCTTTAAGCAATCTTTATGAAAGGCTTCTGCTTTATATATATTTCGTATTATTCTTTTTCGATGATTTCCAACGCAAACCATCATTATTCCAATCATTTTGTGTCCACGATAATTTAGATTTTGCCCAATTGTAGCGATTTTTCTTTTGAATTTCTGTCAGTAGCGGTTTTTCTTTCGCCTAAATAAGAATTTGTATCAATAATCTTCAGGTCATTGATTATCCACACAAAATTAAGTTTACCTTGTAAAACCCCGGACCGCATTTATGGATATATTTTCGGCAACATTCTCTTGATATATTTAATCCAGTTACAGTATTCCATTTAACTGTTACTTCGCGAAGAGTACTTCTTCTTGCAGACTTGCAAATTTTTACTAAATTTCGTAAATCTCTCTGAGATACAACTTTTGGCCTTCCCGAACTTTTACCTCTAACGCCTACACTGGCAGATTCGCCGTATTTTTTTTATTACATTAAAGACCATGGTTTTTGGAATACTTAGATCATCAGACATTTTTCGAATTGTTTTCCCGTACTGTATTGACAAATGATAATTTCGCGTAGTTTTTGATTTGTAGCTTTTCGACGGACCATTACCTTGGATTAAATTAACAAAATTGAAAATTAAAAAAATTAAAATTACTTACAGTAAGTCTTACTACTCAAAGTATCGAGTCACTTACAAGCTGTCAATGCTGAAGTAAACAGTTTGCGACATTTGTGACGTTTATAGCAAAGCCGTCTATTTAAAAATACTTGTCCCAACATTTAGTTGTCAGGCAAATTTGTGCTTTTATGAACAAAATCCGCTACTGTAAATATGGATTGATTTACAAATTCATAAAAATATTGTCAAGTTGTTTAGGATATATGGCTATGTTTATATTTAAAAAATTAAACATATATTTTTCAGTCATTTTGAAAAACCAGGGCAATAATTCCAAAATATGACCTTATCCCAACATATAGTTGTTAGAGCTCGTATGTTATTTCAAACGTAGAAAAATCGTTGGTGTTTGGAAGGCTCGAAAGAAAACAATTATGTTTTTTCCGATTAATCGATAACCGACTTTATTGTCGGGTTTTCAGGTACCAAAACATATTTTAATCCAAATGCCTACAAACATTTATGGCGTTTCCAACCGCCAACACTATAAAGGTGCATCCATATTGCTCGCGGCGCATGTACGCGGCGATCGCGGTGCTCAACGTGCTTGCGATCACATAAAAAGCCTGTTTCGACTGTTCGGCTCTGTCGCGTTACATCAAAGGGACGCTTCGGAGCCGTGCGAGCATACTTCGGCAGTTCGAAGCGCTCGAGCTGTTTGCGTTGTTTGTTTAGATTTTAGTTTAGTTTCATTCATAGGATTCGTATTTACTGTAGTATGGCGATACTACCATTATTTTTCTTTTTTTTTTGTTTAGAATTAAAAATACCTATGTATTTGTTTTTTGTTCTTGGATTAATAATATTAAATATACCTTTTAATAAAATATAACTCTCTATGTTTGTATATTGCCTACTTTTCTTAATTCGATCTTAGAGAACTTTATTTAAATTTTGGCATACGCCTGGTACTATTTTTGAAAGGTTTTGCTTAAAAACTTTGAATATATAACCTAAACTGATATATGAGTCTCCAGTTGCAAGGAATATTATGGCCAATCCTTCTTTAACTGAAATATACCGTATGATCGAAAAAAAATGGCGTCCAGTTGGCTTGGAAATGACGATCGATGATATTTCCCATATAATTTTACATATAAAATGACAGCGATCTTCATTTCATAGCCATCGCTGACGCCGTTTTTATTCGATCATACTGTACTTCCTAATTGTATTTTTTCTTTCAATACAGGGATCACCTACGTTAATAAGTCTTTCAAAATCAGTAGCGGATATGCTATAAAAATTATTAAAAAACATTCCGTCTGCTTGCAAATCGTATAGAAGATTACTTCCATTGTACTGGGATCTATTTGAAATTATTAGACTTCCAAACACCGCCTTTTTTTTCTTTATCTCCTTTGTTTTGCAATAATGATCGCACTAGCAACCGCTATTAAAAATACTTCGGTATCATCCATGCCCGAACAGCACGAACGCAAGCATTACACTACAATCAATGTGGACGCCGGCGCCGTTGCTTGTGAGCCGAAAGATTTTGAGAAACAGGGCAAACAGGAGGGCAAGCAATGCAAGCACAATCAGAAGCAATAAGAACGCGAGCAGGGTCACGATCTATGTGGATGCACCTTTGGAGACACATACAGAGGAACAACCAGAAACTTGGGGTATTTTGTGCCCGATGCACACCGATACTAGGATTATTTCGCACTGACCAGGTCAGTACGACATAAACCTGTCTTATAGCCTTGGCCTTGGCGGTTGGAATCACCGTGAATGTTTGTAGGCATTTGGATTAATATATGTTTTGGTGCCTGAAGAAGCGACAATAAAGTCGCAAAACGTCGTAAAAAACATAATTGTTTCCTTTCGAGCCTTCCCAAACACCCACGATTTTTTTTTACGTACTAACTACTTGGAACAATCATAATGTTATTTGAAACATCTACATTCAAATTAATAAAATTTATAATGCGGTCCAGAGAAATCTACAATTAAAATGCCAGCATAAATATGATATTGTTTATTGTCAAATTTGATGTCACATTTTGTTTACAAGAATTTGAGGGTAACCAATATCGTAATTTTGTATAAAATATGATTTTCACAGCTGTGCGTGAAAGAAGCATTTAACTAAAATCTTAATTTCCGATGAGGCTACCTTTAAATGTAATGGATTAGTAAATATTTAGTATTATGTGACAGAAAGCCCATACAGTAGTAGATAGATATGACACTTCTAATAATAAACGGCCTTCTATTGAAAGAGCAGAAGTCAGATCCTGTCTTATATTTAAAAAAAAACACAATTTTCTCATTAAATATTTTTTTAAATTTTCTGACCCACCCTGTATATATCAAACAAGATTGCAAATGTTGGCAGACTGAATTTTAAAGAATTGCATTGAATTGTATATCAAGCTAGCGATAGCATGACAGATTCGTAATGCTAATATGACCACTTGTTATCGTTATCGTTATATCATTGCGAATTTTCGGGATACATATATAATTATCGCTTGGCTACCGGTAAAAATGATGTTTTAGAGCTCTAATTTTGAGCATTTCATGGCCATGATATTTTTTTTTTGCGATTTTGAGTTTAAATCTGTTTTTAAATTTTTTTTATCATTGAAGATGCAAGGCAGTTATTAATTTTACACTATTAATAGTTTTACTGGTGTATTGCATAAAATATATGTATTTAGTAAAATACTTTAATAAATACACACATAGACTCAAAAAAATTAAAAAAAAAGGGAATATTCACTTTTGTTGTGCCTCCCTTGCATGTCAAACGTCCACTCCACAGCCTCGCCACAAGAAGTATCATATTACTCCTACTAAAGCAATAAGCAATATACGATTTTTGCTCTTATATCGCTAAAAAATTATCACGTCCGGATTTTGTCTTGATTTTTGGAAAGGCTTGCCCGGGGTGGACAAGTTTTCATCTGGTAACCCTAAGGAATGTAAAGTAGGTATGTCTAAAACTGTAGAGATTACCTGTAAAAAATGATTTAATGATGTCACATTTGTTATTTGCCATTTAAAAAAAAACTCGGAAAGTATAAAATATACAGAAAAATACACCACACTCTAACCAGTCTCTTTTCGATCCCCTCGACCAATTTTGGAATTATATCTTCAATTTTCACATTATCCTGTATGTCAGTGAATTATTTTTTTATCAATTGTATCTTTATTTTACAGGTTACAGGCTTCACCAGATAACCGGTACGAGTTTAAGAAGCCCCACCAACAGATGCACCCGCCGCCCCAGGGCCACCAAAGGGGCGGCTACGTAAAACCGGCCGAGGGAAAGCCGCCCTATCTGGGCAGGGGCGGTTACCCCGGCCAGCCGGTTAAAAGGGGGGCCGGGGGTGCGCCCGGCCATAGGGCGAACGGGTTGGTGCCGGCTAAGGGGCCACCTTCTTTGAATCCGTCAGGACCTCGACATCCCTACGAAATGGTAGGTACAATTCGATTTTCAGTTGATTGGATTGTCCATATTATCGTTGATTAAAAGAATTGGGAAGATACGCAACCTAATGGGCGAATTTGTGACAAGGCTGATTTCATGCTGATTTGATTTCCCCTTACGTCTCAAGTGCTGTACGGTGGAGACACCAATCGTTCTGCGGCCAACGCATAACCAAACCAAACACTTATTTTCTTTAATTCAGCCAGCGAAGGCATATCGAAGACGGTGTGGAACTGAAAGCGACAGTGTTGCCATATTAAGTGCAGCTTTGATAATGTATATGTCTGTAAACACAGGATATACGTATTCTTCTACAACATATTTCAACATATTGAAAGTTTCAATAGTCAATCGTTTGTCCTATAAGGCTACTTATATACAGTATCTGTTCGATACGTTTTTTTAAAAAATACTTAAAGTTTGATACTTTTATTTTATACTTTCTGAGCTACAATAGGGTTTAAATTTTTTGTAAATTTAGGGTGATGAACTCATACGATTTCTGTTAACTATTTTTAATGCACTTATTAAATGCTACTAAAGAAACAATCTGCTACTAAAGTGACAGCGAAAAACGTTCATCACTTAATGCTTTATCGAGTAATTTTTTTATAGAAATATAAACAAATTGTTGTGACCTGAAAGCATTCCTGGTAATTTTTTGATTTTTTAGTACGGATATATTACTGCTAAGATAGATTTGAGTACGGATATATTACTGCTAAAATAACACATTTTTTAAATTCGAATTTAAATTTGGATTTTCGTATTTTTGTCCATGGACCGCAACACTGTGCGTCGGAAGCAAAAAAATACAAAGAATAAAGAAAAAAAATATTTAAAATATTTAAATTCAACTATTCGAGAAAACCTCTTAGTTTTTTACTAAAAAAAGTTAGTTTTTTAGTTTTTTAAAACAGATAGGTACGTCGCACAGTGTTTTGTCTAATGGACAAAAATAAAAAAAATTACGTAAAAAAAATAAAAAAAGTAAAAAATTAGCGTGCTGCCGAAAAATTGAGAAGCCTTTTAATACCCAATGGTGAAGACACGAATTTAAACAAACTCATTCAGCAGACAAGTAAATATTTTTGTTTAAAAATGGCCGTAAAGTGGATAATATTTTTATTTATTGTGATAACTTATTGGGTCATCAGAAGGAAATGCAAACGTAAAACTTCACCAATAGAATATTTTATTTTAATGGCAGTAAGTTGATAATATTTTTATTTATTGTGATAACTTATTGGGTCATCAGAAGGAAATGCAAACGTAAATCTTTACCAATAGAATATTTTAGATATAAGTAGGTTGTGAAAACAAGTGATATTCGGATCGGCTTCTGATCGCCATATCATCTCTGTCATTTCTATATTTTGACGTTGTTTTGTGACAGGTAAATTTGTGAATATAATTGTGTAGATAATGGATAATATTATCCAAGGTATGTACTTTATGGTTTCAATATTTTCATATAAAAATTATGTTCTATACATATATATTTATGTATCTAGAATTTTGCTTGTTAAAATGCAAAAACAATATATCGTTTTAATTTCATTACAACTTTTCAAAAATACCAACAAAACCCCCATCGGGATTTTTGGCTGATAATAATCTTTAAAGTATGTAGTTTTCGAAACCGTAATACAAATTTGCTCCAACTTGCCCTCACCTTTTTTCTTATTTTTTTTAGGAAGGAAGATTCATGTAAAAAAATCGGTCTTATTTGGGGAATGGTTTGCAAGCCCAAGCAATGTAAAAATAAAGCATGCTGCCGAAAAATTGAGAAGCCTTTTAATACCCAATGGTGAAGACACGAATTTAAACAAACTCATTCAGCAGACAAGTAAATATTTTTGTTTAAAAATGGCCGTAAAGTGGAAGAAAAGCAGCGAAAGCAATAGAACTCGCTGTGGAAAATAATAAAACTTGGCTGAACACCAGGATAATGTTACCTAATGTTAGCCGAAATTCTGGACCAGCTGATCAACTTGAGAGAACCAAAAGTAGGCCCAAAAAACCTTTTCAGTCTTTGTCATTGAAATCAAAAAACGAAAGGTAAAGGAACTGATATCTCAACATTCAACTCAAGAATTATGCTTTGCTGTTGAAAGATCAGCTCAGTGAGCTCAGATTTCAAATTCTTCTAAATTAGCAGTACCTCAAAAAACATCTTTATCTCCTCAACAGACTCTAGGATTGTAAGAAAAATATGGTAGGAAATACTTCATTCAAGAAACATGGCAATTTTTCCAATAGCTAAATACTCTTGATCAAAAATAATAACGACACCAAAGTCACACATCATAGTACGCACGGGTTTTGTTGCTTGGAATTTTCCCCTTGGAATTTTGCATAATTTGCTTTTTAAACGCATATCGTATAACAAATTAGAGATCGTTATTAACATGCATTTGTCATTTTTTATGGACAAATTTTAGGATATATGGATTCTTTAAAGGAGTTTCTGTAAAAATGGAAATTAGAAATTAGAGCATTTATTTGCTATATTTGAAGGTAAGAGACATTTACCTAATGCACCTGTTTAGATAATGCATGCGTGACTATAGATAGAATAAGAATATAGGTATCGATTTTTTTATGCAAATAATTACAAAAATTTTAGACTTTCAAGTCGTCGTATTAAAAAATTCAAAATGTCACCAAAGCTTATAATTTTAATAATTTATTTGCTTTACTTTGATTAATCGTGATGTAACATTTTTTTGTAATTTGTAGAGTGATGAACCACCCCAAAAAATACCAAGGAGTGAAGAAGCAGAAATAACTACTGTCGAGGAAAATAATATCACTTTACTTACTACAGACCAGGAAAACCTAAATTTATCAGAAAATAATATACCTCGTAATATGCCTGTATCAAAATAAATTTTAGTTGAGTCAATAGTATTCGCTATTGGTTTAAGAACAGTGTCTCTTTAATCAAGAAATGTCCCTTTTCAATCAAGAATTTTTGCATGAATCAAAGAGCCTATTGTTCTTGTAGCAAGAACTTCTTTGCATATTAATTTTGGGTCAAGAGTGAAATACTTTGGACAGATAGATTCTTCTATTCTCTAAAGTAATTTTTAAAGCTTATGAAAAGATTTAATGCTTTGGGCAAAGAAACGTCGTTCTTGGCCCTATTGAAAAGCGCCAATCTTTTGGGTCAAAGTCATATTCATTTCGACTGAGAGATCCTTTTTTCAGTGTTTGATATTTTAAAATAGTAATATACAAAGATATTACATTCAATTAAGTAGCATAGTGTTGATAAAATTATTAATTAAAATTTAATATGTATTACTGTGATAGCATATTATTTTGTCCCACTTTTACACGCTTTTACTTTTTTTTTAATTTTCTAGCTAGAACATTCACTAAATATAAATTATAGCGTTTAGTCAAGTTTTAATATAAGTATTACCAAAAATGGCAGACGAAGTCAAATGTCACCGTTATCAATATGAAATACATTTTTTGTAAATGTTTTTCCTGATTATAAACATGTAGAACACATGTTCTTTCTTTTTAATACTTTTATTTAAACTTAATAAAAATACATAGAATTAATGTTGTAACTTGATACAGAATGAATATAAGCGTATAAAACAATAAGCATATACATATTAGAATTTGTTATAATATTTATCCATAGATAAAGGAAATAAATTTAGATTGGAATGCCCGTCAAAATATATAACTTTTTTGGGTCGCGACCGTTGTACGCGATCTAGCGCTGCTGTAGCGGTTGCTAAGAACAACCGGCAAACAATAACAGAAATAATTTTCTCTGGTCAAAGTCAGAATCTTCAAAAATTATAAGATCTTCCAAAATTTAAAATGCCCTCATTGAAAAAATACCGAAAAGTGTTTAAAGCCCCCATTCTCAAAATAATTTTTGCTATCTTGTGAGTTTAATTTAAATTTTATTTACTCAAACCAGTGATAATTGTGAAAAAGTGGCATTAAAAACTAAAAAACTGTGAACTGCAAAAACCATCGTGGGTCGTGGCATATCGTCGGTTTTCAATGTTTCATAGGTATTTCACATACATGTCCTCATATAAAATAAAGTTTCTTGTGTATGCAACACACTGTATTTTATTTATAAAATTAAAAGAAAATAATAATAAATTTGAATAAATAATATTTGGCGACATAATTCCGGAAAAAGTCGAACCGATCCGAAATTATCAAAAGCTTTGGGTCGCGACAGTTGCAAGAATAGCGCCAAATAGTGTTTACATTGTCCTTATGGGCACTTTCTAATCTAAACTTGATTTCATTTATCTATGTATTTATCATATCAAACCGACATCGGTATAATAATTTATACATTTTCATCTTAAATTTAACTTTTTTTTTGATGAAATAAGGATTATAAATATTTAAGATATAACATTTAATATGATAAATTCAAACATGCCTAACTTAATTTTAATATTAGTCTTAATAAAACAAACAAATAAATAACAAAAACCATACAATATCGAATAATTAATAAAAACGAAAAAGAATACTTACACAATCGTTGTACAGGAGTCCGGTAGACACCTTTCTAAGAACAACCGCCAATACAAATCAGCACTTTGTACACTAATTAATTTATCCCCTTATTAACTTATCGAATGCCTGTTCTCTCGGTTAATCTCGAGAATAACACACAACAAAACAATCAAAAACAAAACCAAACCCAAACATTAACCTGTTAATTTTTTTTCGACATTAACCGGACATTGGACTTTAACCGTAACATATACATCCTCATTACTACAATTATTGCAGGCTTTTACGAAATATAGAGGAATGTGTAGCTGGAGGTGTCTGACAGACCACTCTCTACGGATAGAGGTTAAAAAAATGATTTTATTTTTAAAAAACGGCTGATTTTTTATCGAAATATTCCAATAAACTAAATAAATTTTACGAAAAATATTGTATTTTATATTATTACTGTAATAAGTCAAAATTTCTGACATTCG